GCCCCTCAAAGTTTGCTAGGAGAGGTCACATAGCCTGAAAAGCCTCTAACTACCTCCTGACTCCATGTTCAGGACTTAACGCAAACATTATCAATTCTGGAGCAAGTCATACAGCATAAGTCAATAGATAGATCACACAAAACCCAGACAATAGAAAGCTGTGACGAGAGCAGAGATGAGCAGTGCAGCCTCTGTAGACTTGATCTTCAGTTGACCTGCTTGCTGGTCAAAAACGCATCTTCATAGATGCAGGTTTCCTATTAGGGCCATCTGTAGCCTGTGCACTCTTGAATGGTCTCCGAATTGGAAGAAAAATCAAGGTGGAACACAGTAAATAAGTCAAAGGAAGTAAGGCAAGAGAGACTAGTACATGCACTCCTCAAATTCAAGGACTGTTAGCATGAATAAAAACCCAAGTTTTTTATAAAGTAGTTCTCTAAATAGTTGATGAAAGGCTTGGGCTACTCCCAAACTGATACAACAGTATTGGACCTGACATTTGGATGAGTGCAAGAGAAAACAAGGAGGTCTAAGAAAATCCAATAATTCATACTACTAATAAAATCTAATAAGTCATACTAATACCAGAGAGTTATGGCCAGTTACAGACTGAGTTTCTTATGGACTTCATGTGAGGATCCCTGTTCCAAGCACAGTTTGAAATGCTGCCCAGGAGATGTACAGAAGCTTGGGGCTTTCCAGAGTTCTGAGCAGCTCCAGTGTGCTGTTCTGCCTTCTCAAACACAATCAGGCTTAATAGTCTGAATATTACAGAAGAAACAACTCGTACTTCATGCCAGAGGAATCTGTACCAAAGGCCCAAACCTAGAAGACACATGGACATAGGAGAAAAGAGCAACACTTGCCCCATAAAATGCTGCTCAATGAGGAGATAGATACCATCACCATGGGCCATGCGATCTTGCAGCACTCATCCAGTTAGCAAGATTGGCATTACAAGATGCTAACTGCCTTGAGAACATCATAGCCCCAGCCCAAAGCACTGGATTTCATACTCTGACTAAACCCTTGCCTTCTCCTCCTCAGCCCAGAAGGCTGGCAGACTTTCTTTCCCTTGACCACCCCTGCCCTCAGAGCTCTCTCCCAGGTATTCTTCCCATGTAACATAGCACAGCTCATGGAAAGTGGCCATCACCAGCCCTTCTGACAAAATTATTTAAACCATTTGCAGTTCTCCCACCCCACACATTTTAACCACATGCACCTTTTTAAACACCGCTTGGAGACCAGTGGTCATGCAAATCATTCCAGAAACTAGAGAGAATGGAGGGAAAAAAAAGAACTGCTGTGCTGTTAAGGTTGAGAACAAGAAAATAACTTTTTGTGCGAGTCATTCAACAGCTCCTTTGTATGTAAATATATCCACAACCCATCAGCATCTATGGGGAGTACAATTTACATTTTGAATGATCAAAATGTTTAGTATTGGCAGAGAAAATGTTTAAAGAGAGAGAAGGTGGCGGTTTAAAATTTAGAAACTTAGTCAACCGTGCCAGATTATGATCTCAACTCCTCTCCCTCCAACAAATACTATGCTCCATAAAAACAAAATGCTTTTAAATTGAAATTTGGAAGTTCCCCTGATTTTCAAAAGAAAGAGGGGAAGGCAACAAACGCAATAAATTTCAACAAATTGGGAGAGAAATATAAAACTTGGCCTATTAAATGTGATTCAGAGAAGTACAGGAAAGACTAACACACGAAGTGTACGGAACCATAATGTTTGCAACAGCTGTGTTATGAAATGCACTTGGTATTCTGGGAAACAAGAAACAAAATACTTTGCTAAAACACTAGTGGATGTACCAGTGGCTGAAAAGAGGAGAGACAAAAATCAAAAACACTATTTAATTAATAATAATGTAATAATAATTTAATTAATAATAACTATTAATACTATTGAGAGTGTGGTCTTTGATACCTCATTGATGCCGTGATTCACTGAACAAGAAAACGTGGTGAATGGATGCACCACATCTAGGGGAGGCTGTGCTTGACTCCCTCAGAATTAGCAGTCCTTCTAAATGAGCTTTATCTACTCAAGCAAAAAAGCCTGGTTTCAGTGCCAAGTACTCCTGTTAGCACAAATAAACCCAGCCCTTGGTGCAGTCTTTCCTCAGGCTGAGAAGTCTCCAAGCCTGGTGCCATCCTTTGGTCTCACTTCTAATCTTTCAAGGTCAAATTTTGACTGTGCTTTGCCTTGTTCCTTCAAATCCCTTTCTCAGATGTCAGTCTCAGTAGTAATTAGTTTGAGTGTATAAGATATCCACACACCTGTATTTTGTCAACATGATGAAGGTTAAACCAAATAAATAAAACTGAAAAGCAGCAGCCCCCTTGCTGCAGAGCTCTCATTGGAAATCAGTGTTCTTATTTCCACCTTCAAATCTCTCACAACTCTGTGATGATAGGGCTATTTTCAGGGAAAGAAGTAAAATTCAGAGAAATGGCATTTGTGCTCTAGGAAAGAGTGTTTTCCAAAAACCTTAGCTGCCATAGTAACATGATTTATTCCATACTTGCTGCAGTATAGTCAATTAGCTCCCTAACTGAAAGACAATTACTGTAACTAGAGATGTACCTGGCTGGAAGACCACTGAAATGCTGCTTATGAATGGCAAAGCAGAGCGCTCCAAATTCCAAATTAGCAGTCATTATTGTTGAGCATGGAGGACATTTCTGGCAGTGGTTTAACCTCAGCAACACAAAAGGGCACATTTGTCAAATGGGTGCTGGCAAACCCCAGTCCCTGAGATTACAAAACATGTCCTGCCACATCTGTGAATCTGTATGCAAAGCAGATAGATGGGAAAAAAAAGAGAATGAAAAAAAAATGCATTGCTATTGTATGCCATTTCTGCACTCTGCAGTTATGTCACGGATATAACTTTTGGCTGCAGAACTTTAACAGAGAAGGATTTTCTGAGCAAATTGCAGAAATCCACGTATATTAACATGCAGGATTCAGGCTGTATCTGGTCCTTGCAAACACAAACATTGTCATGGTGCCTTTGTTGCAGAAGACCTCTGAGCCGCCCTGACCCAGTGTGAAGAGCTTTATGCTCCCCTTTTGCTACCATCAGTGACATGGGTCACTTTGGAATTCATTTTGCATCTCCTTACACTAGGCCATTGGCCTTGCCATGGCCTTTCTCCAGTGTAAGTGTGACCAGATGTAGGTTCTGAGATTATCCGACTTCAGCTTTTGCTCACGCTGATAAACTGCTAGCAGAACTTTTTCTAACACACATCCCAGAAATGTTCTGTGTTGTTTTTGGAAACGTCAGATACTGGCCATTGGAAAAGAGAAAACATCTGTTTTAATCTTCCCAAAGGAACATATCAAAGTTTTTGTGTTGTTTTTAATGCAGCCTCAAGGCCTTTTATTCAGTTAAAAAAAAAAAAAAAGAAATAATCCCTTTGTAAAACTACTGCCTAGAATTTGGGGTTTCATGGGGCGTTTGTTTTTAGCTGTCCCTTTTTAAAACCAAACTACTAGGTTTGTTCTTTCTCTTGTAAAACATTACAACGCTGTTTCCCAGGTTGGGGTGGCCAAGGAACAGTCCCTCCCCTAAATCTGATCCTGATAAATGGCTGTTCTCCAGAACAAGCTAAGCCTATCCTGCATGGAAAATAGCTGATAATTAATAGATTTTGCCCCTGTTTTGAATGACTTTGGGGGCTTTAAACTGAACTAATAGTCTGAACTTTTCCCCCTCCTCATCTTCTCAGTGAGATCCTAGGAAGGTGCTATCACCATGGTGGAGGCTGGCACAGGAACAGCATGCGCATGCAAATGCCATCTCAGCTATGAATGTGAAGAGCACAACAAAACCTCTTTTTACCCACTGGAACCCATCACTATATTTATCTGTGTCTTCCTGAACAGATGAGAAACTTCCTATGGTGTTCTGGAGATCCAGATCCCAAGAGCAGCTATGAATAGCAGCTTTAAATTTAACCAAGGTTGGAAAGAGAGTGAAACCTAAATGCTCAAGATGATGCCAGTTCAGCTGGCTCAGAAGCTAACAGAGCCTTGCTTGCAGGTAGCATCTAGATAAATTCCAATCAGCAAGGTGAACACCACCACCATCGGTATCCTGTAATGCTGCAAGTGTGGCATGACTACATGATTTACACACCACTAAACCGCTATGACTTCCACAGAAGTTATTCCTGCTGGTAGAAGGGTGGCAAGACCTAAGTGAACCTTCTGGAGATTCCAGTGCATTGCACTGACTCTCATTGAGCAGTTTGACTCCGATGTTCCTTTTCCTATAGCTCATTCAAGTGTGACCAGGCTAAGGTAAGTGTGCCTGAACTTTTGTTCCACCTCAGTCATTTAGCCTTAATGCTAAATAGCAAGTTCATGAAGAGCCACATTGCAGGGACAGTGGAGCTGGACAGCAGAGCTGCCTCTGGCTTTGACGGTGATAGGAAGAATCTGTGGGTTCTTTGCTGAGGTTTGTTTTTGTACATCTGGTCTGGTTTTGCCTTTCAGTTTGGGATCATTCCAACCATTACTTGAAGCTCCAGAGGTAGCCAGTAGAAAAAACAAAAGCTATAAATTTAACTGGGACAGCAGCTGGGAAAGGGAGGAGGAGGCTGTTTGGGAACTGTGGGTCGACTGGTGGTGTTCGAGTACAAAAACAATATCCTCCTGACACTGGTAAGTAGAAGCAGGCTTCAGATTCCACAGAGCTTTCTTAGCCTTTATTCTATAAAGACAGAAATCTGGCTCTATTTCATCATAGTTAGCTACACTCAGGCACCCCTCCACCCTTGAAGGAGATTAGTAGTGATAATGCATCTGGTACCTGCCCAGCAATAACAGATCTGTGTGGAGAAGATTACAAGAAATTGTTTGGACTTCTGCCCAGTCCTAGAAGTCCCACCAGCCATTTCCAAAAGTCCCATCAGTTTTTATGGCTTGTCTCTCAAGAAGGCTGCCGAAACCTACATGAAGGGAAGACTTTAAAAAGATTTTTGCAGACATTTATTTCTGGCCAAATTATGATTGCTTGGAGGAAAAAGAAGCCACCATACAAATCTTGTTAGAGACTTCAGCAGGAACTCACAAACCCATGCAGAACTGAGATAAGCTAAAAAAAGCAATAGCATCCAGGAAGGAAAGACAGACCAGCCAGCCAAATGCAACTCTAATTCCAGCCCGTGACAGACCCCTGGGGCAGCTCCAAAGCCACTTAGCACAAGCATGGAGCTGGGCCAGGCGGAGATGCTGGCACCAGAAGAGAAGCTCTAGCAAGTCCAGGCTGCAATTTGGTGATGTGCTGAGAGGGACAGACTTGGACAGGCTCAGTACCGCCTAGTACCACCAGCACACAGCTCCCCACCTCTGAAACCCTTCCAGTCAGATGGCTCCAGGGACGCAGCGGTCCCTGAGCTCCCTGTAGAGCAGAGCTTGTGCCGTGTGTGTGCATAGGAGAACGGAGTAACAGCACATCTGCTAACGACACAAACACACTGGCAATGCTCAGTGCGGCTTGGCAGGGGAACCTATATCAACTGTCTGCAGTCCAAGGTCTAAAGGGCAATCTGCCTTCAGAGACTCCTACAACTTCAAGGAACTGTGTCCTGGAATGAAATCGGTGCCTCCGCAGCACACAGCCTGCACTGAGCCCCCCCAACACATACCAAACAAGTGCTGTACCCACTTCACACCATGCAGGAGGTGAACTTCCCAGGAGAGATGGAGGAGGAAAAGCACCAGAGGCTGAAGGCCAATCCCTGTGCCTCTCAGGCCCTTCCAACAGACCTCAGTGGAGAGAGGGACTGCTCCGCCAGCTCAGGCACTGTACATGGGACACAGCATTACCAGGTGCTGGGAAGATTTACCTCAGCAGGGACTGGAAAATGCCTTGTTTTTCCTCAGGGATACAGGGCATAGGAGCTGCCAGGAAGAAGACTGATTAGTCTTGTGCAGGGCTGCAGGACTGCTGGTAACTGCCTGGCCTGGGTGTCCCCAGGCAGCACTGTTCTGTGCTGTAAGAGGAAGGTAAAGAAAGAGGACCAGACAGTTCTAGCAATGACAGCTAGAAAACTCCCCACTGCTGTTATGTCTCCAGACAAGCAGCTCTCTCCTGTATAGCTATACCCTTAGAAAGCAGAAGCTGGAAGCTTCTTCTGTTCTAGTTGCTGGAGAGCAGCTCCCAGCTTCCCAGTTTAGGTGAATGTGTTTGCTGGATGCTGTCCCGGCTGCAGATGCAGTGGGAAGGCCAGGGAGGGCATCTGTTCCCAAGACATTTATGATGGTGCCATTTTGTGTGAACCATGAATTTGGACAGAAACCATGTTGCACCTTAAATGTCACTGCTAGGCAGAAGGAAAGTCATGAATCTTCAGCAATCTTCCAACATCATGATTTCCAAGCAGAAAATGAATATACATTGGAAGAAACACCACAGCTGTGTCTGCCTCAGTAAAGCCATTAACAAATGCAGTGTAACACGTCCAAGTGCAGTCAGCCCTGTCTGCAGGCTGCTGGGTCTTTCTCCCATCCTTCTTCTCTCCCTGTTGCTCTGCTTATTGTTTGCTTCATTGTTAATCCCACCTAATTTAAAAATAGGAAATTGATTTCTTATGTATCCATTACAAACCAAATCATTTCTTTATTACAGCAAGGATCATATTTCATAAGCAAGTCATGGAAAATTAAAACCATGCCTGTTGCTTTGATGAAATAATGGAGAGAAACGCTGGAGGGGAAGGCACAGACAGCTGGAGGCTGTCAGGCAGCCAGTGGTGCATGTTAACTCTTTGCAGGCACCCAAGACTCCCAGAGCTGCCAGTTTTCCTCCCCCAAGCTTCTGGCTGTAGTGCTAAGTGCTCCCTTATCACTAAACCTCAAAAGCATCTAGGAGAAGGAATGCAGCCCCTCTGGACAAAGTAGGTCAATGATTTTGGTGGCTGGAGTTTTAGGTTAATGGAAGATCTGCAGCCTGCCTATGTGCAGAACCAGACCCCTCTCAACACTAACACTATGGAAATCCGGTGCCTGACAGTTACAGTGTACACAACACAGGAACCCGCGATACCAGCCACACATTTACATAAATATCTCCATTCCTTGGGCATATTAGACCATTGTGCTTTGCTGCCAGGTGGGCGAATTTAGACTGAAGGAGAAACCACATTTGCATGCTGAGATATTCCATATACATTGCGCACAGGTTCTGTCAGTACAGCAGGCACCCCAGCCAGGTCAACAAGAAGTTAGCAGTGTACTGTGACTTGGGGCAGATTATAAATTAAAACAAAATCCATTGTGTGCATTACTGAGGATCTATGGACTGCTCTATGAACCTCCCTCCCTGCAGAGCAGACAGGACATGGGTTCTCTGAAGAGTAGTCCAGATAAGTGTACAGCTTGCAGAACATTGCAACATCCAACCCAAAGTTCATCAACTACTTCTTTAACATGCTGATCTCTAGGAATTACAGCCAAACAAATCCTCTTCAATTTCGCTATCAGAAACGAAAAGATCAGCAAGTTCTTGCTGTGCAGAATGTTTTTTCTTATAATGTATTATCTATGGATGTGTCCATATAAAAATACCATGTCTGAGGACAAAGAACAAGCAGAGCTATCACAGCAGACCAAAAGCAGGCAGACTCTACAAGAGTGAAGGGTAGCAGGAGAGACTGTTTCAGAGCAATAGTTCATGTCTGGGTCTGTTCATCTCTCTTAGCACACCCTTTTGAGTAAGAAACATTTCGCCTTCACTTCTTTGGGATAAGATTCTCCCATCCTGAAAAGAGCCGATGTTACACTTGCAGGTCTGTGTTACTCTCAAAGTCTTCCAAGGCTGGAGGACTTGCTGGTGTTCTTTCTGGAAGCTAGGGCCAGAGAGATTATCATACTAAAGTAATCCTTACACCAGTTAAGAGCACTGCAAACACAGCCACCTCACCTAATCCTTCCCCTGCTTGGGGAGGAGGCCAGCCATCAGACAGCAGGCACTTGCCAGTTCACTGCAAAGAGCTTCCTAATGAGTGAGCCAAAGAAAGTCCTCTTAAAACGCTTTATGGTCCTTTTGCGCTGATGATTCTGCGAATGGGAAAACAAGTTTTGTAACTCAGTGGGAGTGAATGAAATGGGTTCCTTCCAGGAACAACCTGCATCATCTCTCCAGCCCCCACCCCCAAAGGGCCTGTCTAAAGCTGTGTCACTAGGAGATACCGTGCTTCTTTCTGCAAGTTTCTGTAATGGCTTCTTCAACCAACTTATTTATGCAATAAAGAGCCCAAGGAACAGTCTGTGTAAACTACTGCAAGTTACCACCAAGCAGCTCCAAGATCAGCTAAAATGGCCAAAGCTTTCAGCCTCTATAAAGTTCTCTTACAGAAGAGGCATTTCAGTTCCCTGTTACAGGAGATGCTTTACACTGCTTTCTAGTCTGCCATGTAGCTCCTTCATCCGACTTTGCCAGAAACTCAGCCCTCTGTAGTTTCTATCAGCATTTTAATGATCATCCACTACATTATAGGACGATTTTCAACACGTTTCCTCTTTGGAAAATATCCTCCAGGAGTTGTAACAAGTACATGTTTTGATGATACATTTGATAAGACATTCACCAAAAGAACCCAGAAATACAGAAATGTTCATTTGCACTTGCACAACAGAGCCAACTCGCTGCACTAATATTTTAATGGAACCACTGGATGTTTTCATTAGCTGCATCTGCCACTGTGACAGCAACAATAACTCCCAGACAGAAGTCAAGACAAGACATAGTAATTAGGTCAAACCTTCAGGATAGAGCTGTCATCACTAAACATAAATGTAAGTTACTCTTCTGCTGTCCGAGCTCTGTGAGATGTGCTATTTATTGCACTGGGTTGTCTAAGCAGGATAACGAACTGGAAGAAATGAGGGTCATTCTGCCTTTTGCTGTTCTTCACAATTACCCTGTGTTTAATTGATCTTGATTAATTATTTAAAGTAAATGGAGCTTTCCTGACCTAGTGGCAACATGTAAACTGATTAACTTTACAAAGCCAACAAAATGATCTGCACAGCAAGATCTGCTCTTGTAATGTATTATTTAGGCCAAGTTATCCCATGTCGCTACCAATGATGAGCTGCCAAACACAAGACAGCAATTGTGAAGGTGTGATACACGTCCCCTTGGGATGAGGGCTGGACTCCTCCAGCCCACAGCACCAATGGGAAAGGAGAAGGAAGAGGAATATGAGGAAGAGGAGGAGGAGAAACTCTCTTGCACTGTGGTAGCATTTGGTACCTCTTGGGGCTGTATTCGTAAGGGCTTGGGTGAAAGGAAGGAAATGATAACCACTGTCAGGGTGGGATGAGGACTGGGAGCATGCAGGGAGCTTGAGGGAGACAGCAGTGATGAGGAACAAGGCACCTTCAAAGGCCAGTTTGAGCAGCCCAGCAGGACAAGGCTGCAGTTTGTCTAGCAGAGCCAGACACTGCTGCTAGCACAGCCCAACCCAGAGAAGCAAATGCAAACTGGCCCTTTGTCTGTCTCTGCTCTGGCAGTCCTGTCATGGTCTCCACCTATACCATCACTAGGAGTTACAGGGCAAAAAAAATAAAGGTATTTTGTGCAGATAACACCTATCTTTGCCTAGAAATCAAGCATCAAGAAAAGCTTTCCAAGAAATTTTCCTTAGATTTGTGTCCCATCTCTGCAATGGGAGCAGCAGTGCCCTACCTAGGCTGATAAGCAATGTGATAAAATTGATTCCTGATGTAACGTGCACATCGGAAGAAAGTTATTTGTTTAGATATCTACAGTATTCCCCATCTCTTCTGGCCAGACACGAAGGCAGGTACACAGATAAAGGAGAAGAAAACACTGGTCACCGCTCTGGCTTCAGGAGAGAAGCAGATAAGGCTGATAAGATAGCAAGTGAAATTCTCCTCCAAGGTTCCCATGCAAATACTTGGGCAAAGGCAGCTCAGCTACAGCAGAAATACTGCTTTGGTTGTTTGAAATAAGCACTCCCAGGCACAAACAGGGCAATAACCTTCCATATCCATCAAAGGCTCCTTGTTCAGGGAACTTAGGGCAAAACAGGCAAGACAGAGCAGCTGGGAGAAAGAGGAGACATCCAGAGTCCTTCTGGGAGACACAGAGATGAGTGGGAGACCCAGCAGGAAGGGGATCTCTAGGCACGATCCAAGGAACCTAGGTCATTTAACTTAGGAACTTCCCTGGGGAGGCAGCCTCCTCCCCCCAGGCTGCTCCTGTGTAAGGGTGAGAATGCATTCATTAGCTTACAACATACAGAAGCAAGATTGATGTGGGCACCAGCAGCCAGCTCACAGGCCAGCACCACCAGCGAGGTCCCCATCCCTGCAGGTTGAAGGGCACAACACCCATCAAAAGTGTCCTGTGCTGCTGCCACCAGCCAGCAGGAAAAGTACAGCAGGCAGGAGCATCCCGTGCTGCTGCCACCAGCCAGCAGGAAAAGTACAGCAGGCAGGAGCATCCCCAGGCTGCAGGATGGACTACTGCCTGCTGCTGTGCAAGAGACCCAAAATCCTTTAGTCAGAACTTCCTTAATCAGGTTTTAAAGCCTCCGGTGGCATGGCTGTCTCCCTCCTTTTTAAACAGAGGTTCATAAACTCTCATGAGCCATAGTACAAAAAAAATGACAGAGGCTTTCTGCCAAACTGCTGAGACTTCAGGGTTCCCCTCCCCCCCAGTTTCTTTTACATCCCTTCCCTGTATTTACTTCTACTTAGTTTTCTACCTCTGGGACCCAAGCAAGCCATCAAACCTGGATTAAACATGCCATAAAAGAATTCAAGCCTTGACATAGCCAAAATATTGGTTTCCAATGAAACAAAACAAAAGACTAGGATGAAGTAACCAATTCTGCAGCTCATGCAGCCATGTAAATATATGTTGCCAGGGGAGACTGAGGAGAGATAAGACTCCACCACCCCTCCAGAGCTAGCAGAGAAAGCATTGGATCCAAACCCCATTCCCCAGCAGCATTCACCACCCGGCTTCAGCTGAAATGGGGGATCAGTCACACTTGAGAAATGAATGTTTTAAGAAGGACAGAGAAATCCAGGCTTCCCAGCTGGGCACCAGGGAGGCATTTCCTCCCAGGGCAGGCTTCATTTCCGAGCTGCAGGACATCTGCAGTCTCCTACCTGTGAGGAGGGGACTGAGCAGACCTCGGGACTGACCCAGGCCAGCAGCAAGAACAAGAGCACACAGCTTTCATTTGTATTGAAAAGCATTGGTTTCTTTGTAAAAGCATTGATTTCTTTGTGAAACCACGTGTTTCACTGGCAGCCCCCAGACCTAACTGGCTGCTTCACTCCAATTTCTCCAAAGGTGGAAACCAAAAAGTGGGGGCTGGCAAGGCTGGAAGAGCAGAGCCCCACGTCCTGTGGTAGCAGGACGTGCCGAGGGGCCATGGGCTGTGCTTGGGGATGTTCAACCTGGACATCAGGAAGGTTTCTCCTGGAGGGTTGGTGCAATGCAGTGAGGCTGCCTGAGAGGCCAAGGAGAATGTCCATGGAGGCTTCCAGGGCAAGACACAGCTGACCCAAGCCAGCCCTGGGAACAGCTCAGAGACCAAACTAGAGCCCTCCTGCGATCCCTCTCACCCAACATTTCCATGGGCATTGAGGAAATCAGTGCAAAAGAAGGTGAATACAAGATTGACGACAAAAATATGACCAACAGGCACAGAAAAGAGGCAGCTCTAAAATGAGCGGATTTATCCCTGTGTGTTAATTAACACCAAGCCTGATAAAGCCTAATGATGCATTTGTTTTAATAAAGAGAAGGGGCCACTTGGCAGCTCCCCCATTGGCTCCTCTATCCCAGGGACACCCACGCCAGGCAAAAACACTCAGGAATGCAGCTCCAGCTCACCCGCTGGCGTAACGTGTTTGTTCTCCGACGTGTCGGATTCCTGCTTGCAGCCAGCTCTATTGGCTGTACTTTGGACCAGAAACATTTCACCTGCATGTATGAACCCAGTGCTACAGCCACCAGGGTAAACACTGGATTTTCAGAGGGCAGTGCATACGCCACTTTGTTAAGTAAACTGATGGACATGTTGACTTTGTTTGTATTCAGCCTTTCCAGCAAATTACCAGGGCAAACTGTGCCAGGTATGCAGAAACCACAGGTATCGTGCTGGCCTGGGGGGGTTTGCTCTATGAGAAGTGGTTAGGGGAAGGCTGGAGACTCAAAGCATCACAACAGCCACAAGGCTCAAGGGCTCCCACGCCACAGAAGCAAAACCAGTTGGGTTTTGTGATGGTCAGGGTTTGGAGCAGGCAGGGAGAAGTGAAGAGGCAGGGCTGCCAGGGGGCTCAGGCTGTGGTTATGAGGGGCAGGCAGCCCAGGCTGTGAGCACCATTTGGTTCTGGGGAGGAAACAAATCTAAGCAGAGCCTGCAAGCATGTATAAGTCCATACACTTAAGACACATTGGAAAATAGTTTGTAGCCCTCCCCATCCTTCCCAGGGATGTTGTTTGGGGGCAAAAGGGTGATACAGGCCTGACCCAAAGACCCACAAAGCACTGCCACAGGTGCGTTTGGTGGTGCACAAGAGCATGCAAGGTTTCAAGATGTATGCCTCCAGCTGAGACCAGAAGCACCCCATACTTTAGACCACTGAGCTGATGCACCAGCTCATACACATCTCCCAATTATCCCACCCTGCGCTGTTTGTACGAGTTCTTCTCTGCCCAAACCAGCCCTCTAGTGCTAAGGAAATTAGCCCTTGTGAGCCAGGCTGCTCCCTCCTACACAGTGCCCCCATTAACACCAGCCATGGGGTGGGTGTGACACAGACCCCTTCCTGCATGAAGCAGCACAAAGTCCCTTCACACAAGGCTGGGTGCCCACCCAGCCGGGACAGGCACTGCAGAGCCAGAACACAGGCTGCCTTGGGTCACTTAACCTCAGCCCTGCATGAAGGAAAGTGGGATTGGGAATTTCTGTAACTGGAAGTTTTGTTTGTTTTAAAAGAACATCTCGCTTCAGAGGGCATTTCAGGTAAGCACCGAAGGGAAGTTCAACATTAAAGGTGCAAAAGGTCCCCTGAAGAATACACAAGTGTGCACCAGTTTAGGAGGAAGCATGCTTCTGGGACCTTCGGTTGCTCCTTTTCAGCTGAACTGCAGTCCCAGACCGCCAACATGCTGCTAGCACAGACTGCATCAGCACACATGCTGAAGACCACTTTCCATGGCTCAACCAATATTACCACTAAGCCCCAGTGTCTTTCCCATGCCTTGGAGCCCTTCACTACAATCAGTGGTTAACCCCAGTAACCTAAAATGACCCAGCAGAAAGGTGCCTCACATCGGGATAGCTGCCATGGAGTTTAGAGCAACCTGAACAAACATCACCTCCGATGGCAAGGTGAAGCTGACAGCAACTGCACTCATTGCAGCCGGGGATCTACCCCCACCCAGGCACCCTCCCAAGATAAAGCTTCTGTCCCAACTAGGATCAATAGCTCCAGTTTATCACATACTGTCCGATTGTGAACATAACACAGTGCTTATCTCTTAATATACAAAGAGAGCAGGGCAAAATAACCCCTGTCTCCACTCACCTCCTATCTTAAAAGGACAAAGTAGACAGACGT